AGGAAATCAGTCCTGAATATTCATTGGAAGGACTGATGCTGAAGCTGAAACTCCAATACTTTGGCCACCTGATGCAAAGAGCTGACTCACTGCAAAAGACCCTGATGCTGGGAAAGATTGAAGGTGGGAAGAGAAGGGAACGACAGAGGATGAGATGGTTGGATGGCATCACTGACTCAATGGTCATGAGTTTGAGCAAACTCCGGGAGTTGGTGATGGACAGGCAGGCCTGGCATGCTGTAGTCCATGGGGTCACAAAGAGTCGGACACAACTGAGCAACTGAACTGAAGTGAATTGTTTTACAATATTGTTTTGGTTTCTGCCATACATCAACATGAATCACCCATAGGTGTACGTAGCCCCGTCCCTCTGGAGCCTCCCTCCCACCACCCACCCCATCCTACCTCTCTAGGTTGTCACAGAACACCAGATTTGAGCTCCTTGCATCATACAACTATCTAATTTTAAATATAGTAATGTGTATGTTTCAATGATACTCTCTCAATTCGTCCCACCCTCTCCTTCCCACCCTGTTTCCACAAAGTCTGTTCCCCCGTTTTTAAACATGTTTAGGTCTCCTTTAATTTGGGGGGGGGGGAGTGGGAAATGCTTAATCCTTTCGGTCCTCCTAGCAATTGTATTCAATACAATCTTTTTTTCCTTCTTCTACCATTGAGCTTTGCAAATGAATGGATTACATCTATAAACTCCTGCCATCTGGCTTCCAGCCCAACCACCACTGAAACTGCATTCTTAAAGCTCATGCAGGATTTCTGAAGCATTAAATGAAATAGCTCTCCTCAGTTCTGATTTCCCTTAACCAGGGGTAAACTTTTGAGGTTTAAAGCATCTTATACCAAGCTCTAAAACCACATTTTCAATGTATACTAGACATTTGTATTAGAGCATTCTATTGTTACTTCAACACAATTAAAACGACTCATAATTTTGTCTACTGATGTTCCCTCTGAATGATTTTCCAGTGTGTGATTGATGATGAGCCCTGGAAGAGAAGGGATCACACCTTTCAGGTACACTACTATAGGTCCTGCACACTGCTTGGATGTAATCAACAGTCAATAAATATTTGTTGAAATGAACAAATGAATAAATATCATTCTTCCACTCACTGAGCCTTAATTCTTTAGAGTCATTTTGGATTCACCTCCCTCCTTTGTTCCATAAATTACATCAGTGATGAAACCTTGTCAACTATGCCTTCAAAATGTAGTGGTTACGGGTATGGATGTGGAGTCACATGGACCTGTTTGACTCTGCTCTGCAATTGTCAAGCTCTGACTTTGGGCATGTTCCCTAACCTCTCAGTTTTTTTATCTATAAAATGAGGATAGTAAGGGTACATTATGGGGTTAATGAGAATAAATGAGGTAATGTGTACAAAGTGCTTCTCACAGTGCCTGACACACAGCAAGGGTTCAATAAATGATAGTTATTCAATTATCTTCCACTGCTCCCCTAGAGAGGTTTACTCACTGCTTCAAATCTTTGCTGTTTCTCTTGGCTTGAATGCTCGCCTTCCTTTCTGCCCATTCAAAATGCTATTTACTCTTCCTGTTAATTTTATTTTTTAAAGTAATACATATTCATAGTTAAAAACTTCAATAGATTAATAAGACTTCTAAAGCAAAAGAGCAGACCCCTACTCCATCTTGCCTAACTTCTGATCTGTACTAGGAAAGCAACCACTTTCAATAATCTTAACTGTTTCCTCTAACATTTACTTCCATATTTCTAAATAATGTCCTTATACTGATGGCTCTTGATCTTTCCATTTTTAGATAAATACGTATTGCCTTATTATGGAAGATAAATATTTAGACCTCTTACAACACCATCCTTTCCAATTTGCTTTCCCTTCATCCTACAAAAAAAGTTTTCTCGGAATCTTGAAGGCCAAACTATATCCCAGTGAATTAACTGTAGCTACTTGTGATTGCCTTTTCCCTTCCACTAAAATAAAATACCCTATCCTTTTATCAGTCGGTTCTAGAACTGTGTGTGCCTTTGATATCGTGATTCCTAGAATACACCTACTTCCCCTTTCTTAAAAGCAATACAATATTAGATCATCCACAATCCCCTTGGACTTCTGTTCTCCATGATTACTAACCTCATTTGTCAGTACAGTATCCTCAATGTAATTAATGCGGGCTATTTGGAGCACTAAACAGGGAACCCTGATCTCATCTGACAAAGTGACATTTAAGCTGAGATCTGAAAGACAAATTGCAAAGGCTATGAAAGCATTCCTGCGGAGATGGTTGCAAGTGCAAAGGCTCTCAGGGCAAAAGGAACTTTGGGAACTCAAGGAATAAAAGGCGGCCAGTGGAGTGGATGGAGCTTGGCATGTCAGGGGGAGAGAAGGTTCACCAGGAGCTAGAAAGGAAAACAGGGGTTAGAGAATTCAGAGCCTTGTAGCTGAGGTCCAGGCAGGATCTGGGCCTTGTCCTGAAAGCAATGAGAAGCTACTGAAAAGTCACAAGCAGGGGAGTGATTTGATCTGATTTGCCTTCTGAAGATTTCTATGGTTGCAGGGTGGGGAATGAACTGGGGAGGGCCAAGAGTTAGATACGGGTAAAACTGGTTTAAAGGAAGCATTAAGGGCAGCATTGTAAGGGAGGACAAAATTTCAAATTGGCAAAAGGTAGTCTTATGAGGTACTTTCGAAAGCTCAGCAGAGACCTCGGAATTTTCTTCAACTTGCTGATGGCAGTGATAGGCATGCTCATATAACAGCTTCAATTTTTTTTCCTTTTTTTTAGTATTGGATGGAGGAGGGGACTCCTCCCCCTCCTCCCCACCCTCCTGCTGAAAGACTGAATTGCTGACCAACCAATTGATCCCAGAAACAGTTTGCTTCCCTCCTTTCCAAGCCTGGACAGCCTCCAGTCCCCACTGGATGGTCTACCCACTTGTCATGGTGAGATTTCTGAGGGGTTGAGGCGAGCGAGGGGCTTGCACAGAAATATGGCAGCAGAATTGAAACGGTTAAGGAAGAACAGTTTCCCTTCTGTTTCAGAGACAGTATGCATTAGCTCTAGTAGAGTTAGGATGGTAAAAAGGACAGGAGACTGCTTCCTCTGAACTCCTACCTACAAGGAGCCTGGGGCTTTGGCTGCAGTCAGCTGAGGCACCATGAGAGTTGGTGTTATATACCATGCGGTCTGACAGTTCAGACAGCAGGAAGTTAAGTTTTTGCAGTTCTGTTTATGGAACTGGCCAAATGAAAATGCTGGCTGATGGTCTGCTTTTCATAGCCATTGACAACAGCTTCCTACAACACCTGGGTTTTCTTTGGAAGCTGTGAAGAGGCACTGAAAAGAACAAAAATAATTTCTTCTTGTCTTTAAAAAAAAACTCACTAAGTAATCTGAATGTGTGTGAGAGTAACTCTAATTCAGGTTGCATTTGGATATGGAAAGAAACTACCTTGCATAAATTGCAGGTTTTGCTGAGCATATTTGATTTATGTGGAATTGCATTTTTATAGTCAAGCAAATTAGTCTGGACCCATGAATATAAGTGTTGTGATGCAACAAACTAGGAAGATGTGGGAGAGACGGTGGAATTACAGTAACAAATGAAAATTAGACCAACAATATTTCTATATCTTGGGAGATCCTAAAAGCTTTGCTTTTAAGCTGGACAACATGGCAATGGTATGTGAGAAAATACTCACACAATGATGTGTGAGAGAATACTGAAAACCAATATCCAGTTCTCTAAATTTTTTTAAGTTGGTCTGTTTGATTCTATAAGCTAAGTACATTTATTCAATTTATTTAACAAATTGCATATGGAAAGATATTACTTATTATTTACTAGTAAGCACTTGCATATCCAAATGTCTAAATTCATTTTCTATTACCTATTTTACTGATAACGATGTCTCTTATTGATAAGGATTCTAGACTTAGGCCTAGAACAATTGACAACAACCTCTTCGACCCACAAATTCCAGTCAGTATCTAGAACAGTGTCTGCCACATAGTAAATAGTCAACGAACAATAAGTGAATTAAATTACGTTAGTTGTTCTCAACAAAAGTAGTCAGCAAAACTTTTTCTATTTGAAAATAAATCTTTGAAATATTAGAGAGCAAAATCTTAGATCCATTTTGTCAATAAAACAAAATATCCTAATATCCGATTGGGCTTCCCAGGTGGTTCAGTGTTAAAGAATAAGCCTGCCAATGCAGGAGACACAGGTTAGATCCCTGGGTCGGGAAGATCTCCTGGAGAAGGAAATGGCAACCCACTCCAGTATTCTTGTCCGGAAATTCCGTGGACAGAGGAACCTGGCGGGCTAAGGTCACAAAAGAGTCAGACACGACTGAGGGACTAAACAACAGCAGATTAATAGACATCTAACATACGCAAAGAGTCGGACACGACTGAGCGACTGAACTGAACATAAATCTTAAAAATCATTAGACGTGGCCTCAAGGGTGAGTAAACGCAAGGAACTACAATAGAGAAAGAAGTGGAAACGGACGGGTTTACTTCTAGGCAACCAGGACATTTGGGAACCTACCTTATGCCCTGCACTTAAGGCAATGAGGACGGGCTACTAGTGGCTCACACTATCAAGTGCAGACTTCCCAGGCGCTTCTGAAGATCCTAATGGGTTTCAGAGTTCTTCCCGGGCCATGTCCGCCCAAACATCCTGGGCGACTGCCAAGAGAGTGTGTTCTTTTTCTTAGATCTTCTGGCACGTCCTCCCCGACCCCTCCCTCCACCCTGGACTTTGCCCACAGGGCTCCTCCTAAAGCTTTCTCACATAGCAAGGTCCAGTTTAACCTCTAGTGCTTTCGAGAAAGCTTGCCAGAACCCCTTTTGAGGTGCACCGGCGCTCTCAGCACTTGAAACCTCTCGTCTAGCAGCCAGGACTTTCTAACCTGCTGTTTTTGCAGGTGGGTAGCCCCTTACCACAGTGGGGCACCCCCCCCCTCCCCAAGCTGGGGAGGTCTTTTCAGAAGTCGCCGTAACCAGCCCCTAACACAGCCGAGTACAAAGAAAATGCCCAGGAAAGATCTGTTGAAATGAATCTAAACCCCAGAGGGGAAAGAGGAAGTGCTCATGCCCAGCAGTAAAGGCCCTTCACGACCCCAGGGGAGGCCCGCGGTGCAGCTGGCCCTGTCGCCAGCGCTTCGCTGGCCGGAGACGGCGGCGCGGCAGAGGCTCGTGGAAATGCCTCTGATCTCCTTCGACTAATTTCTTCTTTACTTTTGCAGAGGAATCTACATTCTGCTCCAGCAGCCTCGGGGCACGCTGTAAAGGGCGGTGCAAACCGAGCGACGTGGGGGTTGGGATGGCCAGTCTCATGGCAATTTTAGCTTCGGCTTTCCTATGTAATGTTTAAAGTTTCGCAAACTCCAATTCTAAACTAGGAGCGGAGGGGGTAGAGCGTTTCCTGGTGCACAATTTTTCGCGTCCCAGGGAAGGTTCCGGGCATTTGTGGCTTTGCCTCACAGATCCTTTTTACATTTCCCACCGCGGGGAATCTAAAGAGCGCTAGTGGCCTCCACTTCCAGCCCGAGCCGAGAACCGCGGTTCAGCCCTGAGGTCTCAGCCGCTTCCTCCTTCAACCCTCTGGGCAAACCCAGAGCGGGCGAGTGGGGGAGCTCCCAGCCCGCGGTACCAGGCGGAATCGGGGGCACGGCGGGACTACAACTCCCAGGCTGCTCTGCGAGAAGCGAGGGGCGGGGGCTGGAGGGAGGGGCTTGCGGTAGAGGCGGGAGGGGGAGTGGGGGTGGCAGGGAAATCCCGCCCCGCTGCGCAGCAGCAGCGACACAAAGCCTGACTTTACAACCTCAGAGAGAAAGTGGAAGTGAGATGGTTTAGGTGGGGAGACAGGACAAGAGAAAAAACCTGAGAAGGGAAAGGCGCGTAGGTGGGAGCTGAGCGAAGCGAGGGTAGTGAGGAGACCCGCGCCTCGGCACCCGAGGAGGGGGGCTCTTATAACTAGTCCCCCCGCCCGCGCCCCGCCCCGCCCGCGCTGGGGTCTCCACAGCGCCCCGCCGGTCCCGGCTCCTCACGCAAAGCCCGGCTCCGCCCCGCGGGAAGCGGGGAGCTCGGCTGCCTGGCGGGTTCAGGGCGGGCCGGCAGGCTGCACCGTGGCTCCCCGGCCCGAGTGCGGGACGGCCGGCGCGGCTGCCGCGGACCGAGGAGGGGCTGTGAGCGAAGCGGAGCGGCGGCCGAATTAGGGCCGGGGCAGGGTAGGCTTGCGGCTCCCGCACGAGCCAGGGGAGTAGTGTCGGGCTGAGGCGAGGTGAGGCGCGGGGCGCCACGGGAGGGTCCCCCGTGGCCGCGAGCGGGGCGGGCGCACGCGGGCTGCCCGCGGAGAAGCGGGTGGTGGCTCCGCGGCAGGGAAGAGTGCAGACGGCGGGGTGCCGAGCCCGGCGCCGGTCGAGAGCTCTGGGCGCCCCCCTCCCGCAGGAGGACCGGGGGGGACCGACCCAGGGGTCTCTCGGTGTGCCAGTTACTCGAAGATGGCGTTTTATTATCAGGGAGGTTGCTTTCTTTTGTTTCCTCTGCCACGAGCACATGGAGGTAAATCTGGACCTGTCACCGTGGTCCAAAAAAGCCCTGGGGGCTGAAGGGTGGGAGGCTGGGGCCGGGTTCAGCCTGGCCCGGGGCTCGGCCGGCTGCTCACCCGAGGCCGGGCAAACTTTGGAGACCCAGACTGAGCCTTTCACCTTGAGGGTTTAATAAAAATCGAGGGCGATCATCGGGGTGGGCTGAGTCGAGGTGGAGACGCGAGGAGGCGGCCCCGCCGCTGCCAAGCGAGCGCCGGGGCCGAAGCCTCGCCGAGCCCCGAACGCCCCAGACCTTGACCCGGGAGAGGAGGTGAGCTGCGGCTGGACTCCTCCGTCTACGTCGACCCCCGTCCCCGATCCCCAGAAAAGGGAATTTTGTTGCCGAGGGAGTTTGGTATCCGGAAAACCGATTACTGACTTTTTCTTGAGTAACCTGTTCACTCCTAGAGGGTACGGGAAGAATGGAGTGAAACCGGGACCATCTACTTCTATGCTGCTATTAGTAGCAACTTCCTTAATTGCAAGATGAGGTGGCGGGAATAGGATTTTATTTCTGCCAGTAATGTGAAAGGAAGGATTCGTCAGTAAATGTGGATTTTTCTGGCCTTAGGAGAAATGGTTGAGTGCTGCGCGCGCCTACCAACCCCCCTTACAAGGTCTGTTTAAGAACTTGTCGGTTTGGCTGTTTTCCTGCGATTATTCGTAATCGAAGCATTGCTAGCATTTTTCACGCGTCGGATGAATTTGCTCTCGTTATTTTTTCTGCATTTGAAACTTTCACAAATGTACCCTGGATAAACGAAGTAATTGTACGTCCCCTTCTAGGCTATTATTATCACAAGAGTGCTGTTAATGTTTTTCTAAAGGTTTACCTCACCAGAAGCATGTCTTATGAAATTGGAGCAGGTTTACCTGTGGCACAGCAATCGAGGTTGTGCATATAAGGATTTTGAAATCCATAGGAATTGGATTGTACTGTATGCTTTGCTAAAGCAAGTGACTAAAATTGGTTTCTCACATTTAGCCTGAGAAGGTAAAAGAGCATTGTGCTTCATAGTTCTATTTCATGTAGATTCTTGTGATCCTGAGTGTTGTTTGGGGGTGTTAGGAAAGGAAAGGTGACAAAGAGGACTAATTGTAATATTTGGGAAGAGGATAATCTTTTCACATGGCATTCTTATACTGGAAAACAACTGGACTGTGGTTTGTAATACATTCCTTAGCTCAACATTGAGATGATGACATTCCCCTCCCCCCCCCCTTTTGAAGGATTTGAACATTTGAAACCAAACAACCAGTCTGAAAGTATCAGTCTAAAAGCCCCCTTCATCTTTCTTTTGCTCAGAGTGGTCTGCGTTGTTTGAGTCTATTAAGGAATCAGT